CCTTGTCTTGCAAAGAATTCATTATCTTTAAAATGAACAGTAGTGTTCACTATCAGTTGATGAAGATGTATTTTCCTTTGTGAACTGCATTTTACTTTGCAAAGATGTTATTCAGTTACCTATAACTCAAAAGGTAACTCTGGAGAAAGTTTCAGAATGCCATGCCACATCTTCTAGCCCCATCCCACCTGTCTTCTTCTTTTCCAGTGAGGAACATGAAGGGTGAAACGTGATACTGATGTCTAGTGAGAGACTGAAATAATTTTTGGTTTGTTCCTGAGGTTATACTAAAACTACAAATGAGTAAATAGTGTAATTGGTTGTCATTAACACTGTATTAAAAATTAATTTGTACTATCGAAAGGCCAGAATGAAAGAAGTCTATTAAGAAAGTGTAGATACAACTTAATGTGTTCATGTATTTTTTTCCAATTAGAAATTGATGTTCTTTACTTGGTTCTTTTCCTCAGACTAATTAAGATTTAACCGTGTGACTCAAGTGGCCTTGCAGGTCTACATAGCATTCTAAAGAATATTAGTGGGAATTGCCATTTAAATCATGTTGTTTATGTATAAGCAAAATAGAGATTTCATCGTTTTCTCAGAATTTAACTTGATGGTAAGACTTGAAAGTCAGACTTGATGTGTATGAGTGTTTAATAAAACAAAACAAAATCATTTTGAAATTCAATGCTTGCATTTAACAGTATTTTAATGTCTTTTTGCATTTATACCTTTTTATAGGAAGTCGGAACAAAGTTCCTAGGAGACCTTAGAAGGTTCCTAAGATTTCACCCCTCCTTCTATAAAAGAGAACACCTAACTTGTCAGCAGCAGGTGTTTGGACAAGAGGACGCTGTGGAGAATGAGCTGCCAGGGTCAAGTCTTGGTGCGCTAGCTCATGTGTGCCCATTACTCCCTCTTCTGGCCACACAAGACCGTGCAGGGTGATACAAGAACGGCGCTACCTCATGGCTTTGAAGGCCAAAAAGTTTCCTTTACACATTCTTAGAACCAGCAATGTACTCTTTAGAAACCAAAGGTAGCCTAGGACATGGTCAATACACTCAACGCTGGACTTGGTCTGCTAAGCTAATTCTAGCTTTACCATTTAAGTGGGTATTGGATCATGAGCATTGTTTAGGCTCAGTTTCTTTACTTAGAAAATGATAACGACAACTTCACTGTAATGTTGTGAGCATTAATTAAGATAATTAAGAATAAATTCACAACTAATGTTGGTAAAAGTTATTATAGGTTAACACAGATAGATTTTCCTGTGTGAGCCATCCAAGTCGTGATGCACGTACAACTCTGGGTTCCCTGAGCACTGGCACTCACAGAGAGATTTACCTTGTCCATTACATTGAAAGTTCCATTCTGTTCAAGCACACGGTCAATTGTTGCTTCAAGATTTGTTTTTGGTAGAGTTTCTGTCAATGCATTTTGTACCATTACCACTTTTTGTGTGTTGCCTGCAGTATTCAGTCAGGGATGACCTGATAAAGTGATGACTACAATGAGAATTGACATTGAAGTACCACAGTGAGAGAGATGACAAAGTTCCGGCCTCACAGCAATCTTGACGTATTAGCTAACACATGCATCATGCAAAATGTTCACTTACATATTGATCTTTTCAAATCATTTCATTACTTATTGACTTTCACTGTTTTGTGTGGTGGTAGCTAATGCTTATTCCTGTGTTTGCATTCACAGCCATTCAACATACTTATGTTGGCTTTTAATTTTGCCAGTGTTCTACAAGGCGGGCCATTTCTGCTGTAAGTCAGCTCTCTGAAAGCAAAGGATGCTTCAGGCTACCAAGGACAGTAACCTTAATGTTCAAACAGCAGCAGAACTTTGTTTTTGAAAAGGAGACTCTTAGAATAAAAAATCTATGGTAAGGCATTCCCTCAGAGAATAAAGCATTCCTCAAAAACATCAGGCAAGCATTCCTTCAGAGAATACTGAAGGTTTTGTATCACAGCAATTGTGGAAATATTCTAGACAAGTAACTAATTAGGAAATCAGATTGGAAAGCACATATAAGAATGGGTAAAACTAATTTGTAGTATCCAAGAGTGTTTAGCATTTATGGGGAGTCAAATATGTGGCTATTAAATGTGGTATATTTTAAGACAGAACATAGGTCTTAAATGAGAATAGTATTGAGGAATTAAATTTTAGCATGGCTGTATACTACAGAAAGATAATTGTACTTAAACTCCTGCATTTCTCAAAGTTTAAAGGACAGCCAGATTTCTAATCTTGTGTGATTTATGAAAGTTTATAATCCAATTAAACTTTGTTCTTTAGTTTTCGGGCAGTTAATGAACACATGTAACAGCTCTATTAATTTTGTTAAAGTTCATTTTCTCTGCTTGAAAGAAGTTTATAACTTATATGAGGTAATATATCTAGAAATATCATTAAGCAATTAAATACATCATAATCTGAAATGTTTTAATGTACTTTTTAATTAATTCTGTTACCTACTGGGATGAAATCAAATCATATAAAATTCTTGAGTTTCATCACATTCTTTGGCTGCTAGAATACCTCCAAATAGGAACTGATCTCATATAGATAGAAGGACGTCGTTGAGGGCACTTAAATTCTTTTACAAAAATAGGATCACTTTCTTTCTTTTCTTCATTTCTCTTTCCATTAGAATGGAGCCCCCAGTGGAAGATAAAGGTTAATTTCCTTCCACTTTTTCAAGATTCATGGAACTGTTCCTTTTTGCTTTGTGTTCCTTGTCAGAACCTACCACATCTCTTGCTCTACAATGAAATAATGGTGGAGACCCTGGCACACTGTTACAATGACTTTCTTGTCTTAGTTCCTTCTTAGTTGCTCTAATTTATACTGAAATTAATTCAACATGTAAATGGAAGGATAAACAAGTTCTCAGTATTCAGAAAAGTGTCACTTCTCTGCTGACTATAACAACTCAGCGGCTTAGTTTTTGAATTATCAAAGTGATGTTTTGTCTTTTCCTAGCAAATTCGTACCTGCCAAACTAAATCTTTTTTTAAACATTAAAAAAAATTTTTTTTTTAATTTTAAAGAGTAAAAGAAGGATAACATAATAATAGGGGGGCTTACCAAATTACAGACAAAGTGGTAGGAAATTATCAATGGTTATTGTTTTACATACTGTTATCTACAAGATAGCAAACTAAATTTTTATTCATTGACTTGTTCTTACACAGTTCCTTGTGAAGGAAAATAATGCCTGTTTTCATTAGTGAGATACTTAATTTTCTTCCTAAGTAAGGAACATACATTTTTTTTTCTTTCACAGAGATGGATAATCTCAGATACAAAGAGACGATACTCTCTATAAATCGCAATAGATATAAAGGAGAATAGCTTTGACATTGATTCATATCGCTAATGTTATTCTAAAGTGGAGAGTTAAAAAATAGGGACAATCATAATGATTGCAGTGAGTGTAATCACACTTGCTACATAATGTCAGTGTACATCTATAATGATATATTAACTAGGATTGCTGGAGATGAAAACTTTTGTTTCCTCTTAATGAACTGTAAGCCTGAAGTCCTCAAGGTAAAAAAAAAAAAAAAACATTTATTAGAAGATTTGACATGCATTTTTTCTCCTAAATGGATACTTGTTTAAAATAGTTCCTAACCACTATTTGATTCTATGACCAATTTTTTCAGATATGACTTCAGGTACCTAAAATCTAAGATTAAATATTTGTGATAATATATTCTTACTTTGAAATAGAAATTTTCATATTTAACTGGAATGGTATAAAATATGAATATATGTATTTAATTTTGTTGTACATATCTAAGAGTGATCTAATTCAATATTTATTTCAGGCATATTTTGAGAAACCCATGACTATACTAAAATGGCCAATGAAATGTTTATTTATAAGTCAGCAGTACAGAAGCAAGTGAATCGTGTTAAATTAGCAAAATTCAGATTTATTATATAGAGAGCTTTTGGCTTTGTGAAAAGATAACTTCATATACTTTTACTCATTAGTTTTCTTATAAGGTAGAGTTCTTTAGATGAAGGTTTTCAAACTATCATTTGGACCAATCAGAGCCCAGTGGCTGAGAAGACATGCATTTGATGGGTCACATCCAATCCGTCATTTTTCCAAAAGCAGATAAACTTTTGGGAGCTGAAAACCTTGATCACAGCAAAGTGTTGACACAATCAATCACATTCTCCTTAGTTCAAGATCAGTATGCAAAGGCTCAAAGACGTATGCTAAAAGTTGTATAACCAACACGTTTTATAATATTTTGGGTTAGTTTCACTTAGAAGCAACTCATAAATTCAGAATTAAATACCACATATAAATAAAAGAGATGACAGTTATAGTCACTGAAACACTTGAGTGCATAATTTTCCACATGGAGAGCTCATTTAGTGTTGTATCAAATTTTTATTAAGCAAAACTGAAGGGAGAATTAACTTGAATTGCAAAAACCTTGTCTTCCTCAGTTTACATACAGCAGCTGTCAAATAAATACATCCCAGACAACTGGGGCGTCAGTGGACCTTAAATTTGTGAAAGAAACAACGGTTAAAACTTCCCTTTTAGTATAGCTTTAAGGTAGGAGATCCAGTTTATATAGAGATTTCATTAAAAAAACCCACTGGTTTAAATATATGTATATATATATGAAACACCATTATAATTATATACTTTTCCCTTAAATTGCAGTTTGACAATATAGGGAAAAATGGAAAATTGAGAACAAAAAAAAAATAGAGCAATCACAGGTTCTACATGTGATGTTACACTCTCAATAATTTCACTGAAATTGTATTGTACAACTTATATACTTTCAAACAGTGTTTTTTTCTTCCAAAATGTACCAATTCACGGAGTAAAGCCATTCCCATTCCTTTCTATGAAAAAATATACTGTACCACTTTGTAAGTTCCTAGAGTTCCCCACTGTTGAAAGATGTTTCAGTGACCAAACGATTCATCCATTTAGTTACCTTAATGGCAGAGAGGTCAATTTTTTCTTCTTTGGGTTTGGCTGGGGCAGGTGCAGGTGCAGGTGCCGGGGCTGGGGCTGGGGCAGCAGCAGCAGCAGGTTTCTTCACATCTTTCTTTGGTGCCATTTTATTTAAAAGGATTGGTTAAAAAAAGGAACTCCTCCAAAAGAACCTGTCAAAATGATACTTAGAGGAGGAGTGGTGGTTTGCTTGATCCACAGCCCAGTGTCTTGAAGGTGGACCCGTGTTAAATGGTATAAGGGCATGCATATATATTTCACTTAGTGCCTAATAGAACCTTGACACTTGCGGCTGGATTGGACAGTTCACCAGGCGAGGGGGATGGCATTCCGGCTCAGACTATAAATGGAATCTAAAGGGTCAGGGCTTCATCAATGTTTTTTAACTCCTCTTACTTTTTTTTTTCACCTCCATATATAAAGGAGAAAGAAATATGACAAAGCCAGCTTCAGATCCTTTGGTGACAGCAAAGAAGGTTGACGTACTTTTTCTTGGTAGAATTACAGTCCTGTTGAAGTTGTAAATCTTTTTTTTCCATGCCTAAGAAACTTGACTGAAGGATTCAATTTCAACTGGGAATTTTGGCAGGGAATATCACTAACATTCACCCAGCTCCTTTGCTCATGCTCCTCCCTCCTGGCCATATTTGCAAGAAAATGTTGGTCAGCAAAGGGGTGGTAGGTTTAAAAATAAAAAGCAGACGTATAAGGAAAGCCAGCCAAGTTTTAAACTGTTTTCCCTTCTAGGGAGCACAAACTCTGGTTCTGTCTCCGTCTCCCTCTCACCTGTTTTCCTTCCCAGATGGCATAAAACCTGACTATTTATCACTTAAACCTTGTAACTGTACGAGAGAGACAAGTGCGTTTTTAAAGAAATAAAGGAGAAAGGAAATTATTAGTGCCCTGAAAGTTTTGGCGACTTCACCTTTTCTTTTCTGTCCTTGGGTTCCTCAATTTGAAGGGTAGATTCATATTTAAGAAGTGTGACATATCCAGTGCACTCTTCATAGCTTTGTAGGTGGCAGATTCTTCCAAAGAGTGAGTTCTACAATTAGTAATTAGTTACTTCTTAGTACCCTCCTCACTTCTGTTGCTTTAATTTGAGAGATGTTTACGTAATGAGTACAGTAGTTATTATGAGGAAAACAAAATGAGAATGTACATTATAATAAGTGTATATATGCATACATATCTGTATTTATATATAGATAGGCATTTTATATATTTCATTTATTAATTATAGTTATGCTTACAGATAGCAGTTCACTAGCCACTTTCTTCTGATCTGGTATATACAAGTATTCCCAACATGGAGAAGGACACTATTCCCCTTCATATATTATCATTAAAAGAGATAAAGACTTTTATATTAGCAAAAATTCACCTATAAGGTACAACTGAGGCACAGTGAATCGGTCTCATTTTCTCTTGTGGTAGCCTAATTTACTGAATTATTTTACCCATATATGCTTAGGGAAAGCTTTTAAATTATTCTTAATAAAATAATTTTAATTTGATACATAAAACAAAAAATTATATACGTTAATGAGGTATTGTGAGCTGTTTCAGTACATATGCACTTCATGTAATCAGGTTAAACAGCATCTAGTTCCCCAAATATTTATCACTTCCTTATGGTGAAAACATTCAACATTGTTGCTTCTAACTGAGACACACAGCACACACTGCTACCTGTAGTCCCTGTACCATGCAGTAGCATCCGTGCACTACTTACTTCTAACAGCAGCTTAGTACTACTGGTCAACCTGTCCTTATCCTTCCTTCCTCCTATGCTGGTAAGCACCATTCTAATCTTGACTTCAATTAGATAATTTTTATTTATATTCCACACGTGAGGGAGGTCGTGTGGTGCTTGTCATTCTGTGGCTGGTTTAAGGAAAAGCTTTCACATTTGCTCCCTCACTTGTGCTGCTCCATACTATAAAGTCATGTGTTACTTACATTTAGCTGTTGATAATCATTTCTTACAATGCAAGGAAATCGTGAGAATCTGAACATATTTTAGCAAAGGATATTGCTTCATATATACATATTTAGAATGGAATTAAAATAATGCTATGTTTATAATAGAATTGTGATTTTTATAAATAGCAGAAATTTGTCTACTAGTTTGTTTTCCTTTGGATTTTCAATGAATAATTTGCAGTTTTTTGCAATTACTGGACAATGAATATGCACTTGCTTTAATTCATAGTTTATATTAATGCTTTCATTACTATGCAGAAATCCCTTAAAAGCTATAACAGGTGAACAGGTAAAGGACCTTTAAGCATTCTGAACAAAAATAGTTTGGTCCTCCACAGAGCTAGAAGAAAAATTGAAACAACAAAAAATTAATCTTTATGTTTTACTAATCTACTCACCCAAAATATGTTTTACCTTTATAATGTCTCCAAAGGTCAATAATTTCTACCTTAAAAACTCAACTACTCAAAACTTGAAATAGGAATACTTTATTTTCATACTGAGAGCATAAATGACTTGATCCTACTGTACTGTATATCTAAATTCCTTTGTATTATCAAACATATGTCACAAGGTTATGAATTCATAGAGAATAATACATTGCTGCAGAATTTTTTTCTTCAAAAGTAGACACCACAAATGTAGTGTACCATTCCTATCACATTAAGGGTATGTGCTAACAATGTGACTATTTTGCTAACCTTGATTATGTAGGTGAAGTAGTATTTGGCACCCAAAGCCATAACCCAAGCTAGCAATGAGAATAATGCAGGTCTGACCAAAATTGAAAGTCTATAGGATATCTGACAATAACTTCTGCCAAGGTTATCAAAACCAAGAAGAGTCTGAGAAACTGTTGCAGGCTATATGGATATGGAGAAGTATGATGAATAAATGTAATGTTAGCCTTAGAAAGGATTGTAATAAAAAGATATTAGATAAAATGATATTTCAATATTGCTTTATTGGTAAAGACAGGTGTGTTAGTGACACACGAAATTTAATATGAAATATGTGGGAACTCTCTTAACTTTCTCATTACTCTTCCATTAATATGAAAGTATTCCAAAACAAAAAGTTTATATGCACAAAAATCAAGAAACTAGTACGGAATAGTTCTGTCTGAAACTTGGAAGATGATCTCCTGATTTCCTTTCTACTTTGTCAATATTTTTTTGTGTACTTGGTCAGGTACATTATGTTCACAATTTACAGCATGGATACCTTTTTGAAATGGTTGGTACTATTCATGTATTTTAGGTATTATTAATTATACACAGAAAGTATTTGTGGAGAATTTATAGGTTTTCTGAAATTATCATCCTAAAGCAATTTAATGCAACAGCTACAATCAATATCTCTTTAAATTTCTCTCTTGACCTGCATATGCGCCTATGTGACAAGACTTACTTATAAGGGGAAAAAAGGGCAACAGCTGAGGATTCGTGTTCTTAGTGACAGCTGACATGCTCTGTGCCCAGATCTTCCAAGTATTCCTCATACTTAACTGTACTATTTGCTGTATAAGTCTTTTTAGACGCTTACCAGGGCACAGAGGAATGGCAGAGAAGGAGAAAATTTACTGTTAAAGGTGGTTTATCTAGTCTATCTCCTAACCCCATTGTGTTTCTTTTACCACATGGTTTGTTATGTGGCTGAGATTTGCCACACATTAATCTATTTCTTATTTCACTAAGATAAAATTCTTGTCTTCTACTCGGAAAGGTTAGGTTCAAGAAATGAAGCAACTGGCATTTCCCTACATTTCATTGATCCATGTAGCGCACTGACATGCTTAACCATTGATGAGACAACCACAGGCATTTAGTTATTTCGCACGTATCGATCACTGATTACAAGCCTGGCATGTATGCTGGTATATGCGAGGCATATACTTATTATATGATGGGTATTCCTAAGTGAACAAGTTGCATTTTGTTTCAGTTCTCTTGGAGGACTGAGAAAGTGTTTGAAAGAGGATAGGAATGGGAGCCCAAGAATATGGGCTTGGAAAAACTGACTTGAAGATGTCGACAGGGGTGCCCATAAGGAAAGATGACCGGGTGAGAGCAACGGAAGAGAGAAGTGTATAGGGACGGTAGGGGAAAGGAACTCGTTGCCAAAGAAGCCGTACTGTGTAACACTTCTCATATGTGTTGTACACTTGTATCAGGAAATATTAGAGCCAATTTTAAAAATAATTTTTAAATGGGGTAAAATTATAAGGTAGACTGAAAGTGGTTATGGAAATTATACTTTCTGCCAAAAGAAAGAAATTTAAAATTTAAAAACGTATCTTCTTTGTTGAGCGTAAATCTGCAAAGTAAAGTAGAAATCCATAATTTTTCCCCCAGCAGATTAGAATGGCAAGTAAGTGACAGAAATCTTTTACAAATCTTGAGGGTGTAAAGTATATAATGGATTTTACCTGCCTTTATCTCAATCTTCAGGAAGGGTTCAGGAAATGTTATTTCCACTTCCAGTAAATCATTGATCTGATCAACATCAGAAATTCAATGTGTATTTCTTGTCTCCTAGCAGTCATTTTGCCCAAGAAATCCAATGTGTAAGTGTGTGCGTGTGTGTGTGTGTGTGTGTGTGTGTGTGTGTGTACTTGCAGGACTAATTTTCTTAAAGAGCACTACATTTACTTTGTATTTACCCTATTAAGACTGCTAAAACTGCTAAGCAAAGTTGTGTTGAATTAGACTTGAATCTGTTATCATAAACCCTTTATATATTCCTCAGGAAAAAAGATTATTGGTTAGTTGAGTACTTAGCACACAATGATTAGGAAATTTTGAAGTTTTTGGTGTGATGTATCCTTATTTAATTTCTATGTTTTTTTGTATAATGAGCCAAAGTGTTATGTTTAAAAGCTTGTGTCAATTCCTTTTGACCTATCTCTTTAAAAATAACTTCATTTGTAAGTTAACATGTAACACCAAGATGTTAATAATAGTCGATATTAAGTGGTAGAATTATATGTTAATTTCTTTTTGCCTATCTATATTTTCTATTTTTCCTTCTTTGTGGTTAAATTCAAAAGCCAAGTTGTTACACTGTCACTAGGGCTTGGGATTTTTTTGCATTAAGCTTCAGTTCATGTATATGTGTGTGTGTGTGTGTGTGTGTGTGTGTGTGTGTGTGTATGTGTGTGTTTATACCTGAAAACTTTCTCATGGCATGCACTTCAAGCAGTGTCTTTCACATCATTTCAATTCCCAACAGCTCCTTGTCTAGATTTGAGTCCAGTTGACACATACCTCAGGCCCAG